ATAGTTGTTCCACAAGTTCTTCCTACTTAAATTAAATTTTTAATTATTCTTATTGTTTATTGTTTTTATACATCGACTTTTATACTCTAAATTTAAAAAACAAGTGTTTAAGGATATCGTATTTCTGATCATATTTCTGTTCTGTTTATATTTTTTTCACTCAATAATATAAATAATACCATATATAATAAATAATCTGAATTTTTCTTGAAATAATATTTGTAGTTCACATTAATAGAATTTGATAAGTAAAACTAAAATATAAAACATTACATATTTGTGTAATGAACCATAAAACTTTGTTGGCAGTGTTGGCATCAATCCACGTAACCTTACATATTTAACTCTTGACCATTCTATGAATCACATATTATTCTCAATATTTCTACTTTAGAAATGATAACATACATATTAACAGAAATGCGAAATAAAAATTAAAATTGTACTTAGCTCGATCCTTATAAGTATTTGGCTACTACTGTTAAAAAAGATAAAAATAACTCTCATATTAAGAGTGCCAACTTAACGTTTTTGTTAAAAAAAAATACATTTTGGTTGTAAGAAAATTACCTTTTCAATAAAGTTCTCATATATTTTGTTTTTTTTATTTCATTAATATTAATAAAAATAAAAAAAATCATCAATTTTTTGAATTTAGTTATGAGTTTTATACTTTTTAATAATATGACTAAATATTATAACTATTGTACATGCTTTAATCATATTTAACTATTTATTTCTCTCTATCAAATATTTAATTACATATTATTTATAATTATAACTACTTACCTAATTTTGATTATATTACATGTCTCTCAATTCTATAATAAATCATTTTTTCTACATTATTTTTTAATGATAATATTTTCTTTTTAACTTTTTTTTATTTATGATTTAATATTTTAACTTAAACTTTCAGAATCTATTACTTATCAGTTATATAATTTGGTGCCTATATTTTTCAATGATTAACTCAATCTTAACATAATATGAACATAACAATTTAATGGTTTCTGGATTTAATAAAAAATTAAAAAATGTTTAGCATTTTTTCGCAATTGAGAAACAAATGTTTATTTATGTTAATAGTAAATATTACGCTATTACATTTTTTGTATACAAAATTAACAATTATATTGACTAGATCCGTAGACAATTTTAATCTCAATACAATTTTCATAATTACCTATTAATTTTTTTTACATTTAAATACACAACGTATACTTAATTAAAAACTGGATAAATTAGGGAAATCATATTGGTTCCCTTAGATGCTTCCATTGGTATTGCTGCACTGGTAATTGTATAAACGAAAATAATAGAGTGTGGCGAACCACAAAATCATTACTTTTATACATTTTTAATTTTTTTTTTTTTATATTTAATTTGATATTTAAACAATTTTTATATTACATTATAAAAAATAAAAATGCTAAAAACCAAAAATATTTTTATTTTTAGGTGAATTCTTTTTAATTTTTAACATTCACTTTTGTATGCAGTGTAATGTATAATTCATAGTTTATGGGTGTAGAATCTAGTTTATATAGTATGAACAAGATGTACGACTCGCATATAAAAGCTTGTTTATTCTAAAAATTACGTTTTTTTACATGGAAATTCGATACCTACCATAAAGACCTGTCCTAAATGCGTGTATTATGTAGGTTTCATACTTTGAGTTGGTTAGGAATTATTATAATTTTTGTTTATTTATACGTTATTAGGTTTTACTGCAGTGTTGTTTTTTAACTTAAAAAGGTATTATTTTTTATAACTTAATTTGAAGTAAAATAATTTGTATATAGGTATTAATCGATTCAGAGAGTATAAAATGTATTACTAGTTTATGCGTGTACACATTCATGTGTATTAAAAACTTCTTTCGTTGTTCATTTGTACTCACAAAAGTAGAAGAATGTGTCGGCAGTGCCAAAACAAAAATATCTTCGGTAGAGAATTACATAAAACAAATGCACCGCATCTCGAACTCAGCCGTTTATGTATGTATCCATGCATAATACGACTAAAACAATTTTATTGCCCCTTGAGTTTCGAACTCAGAAAAATATGTAAAATAAATATCTTATAATTTTATTAATTTTATCTACTTCAATTTATATTTTATTGTGCGTATAATGCTTAAGAAAAATACTAAAATTATTATCAAATGGATAATTTTTAAGCAGAAAGGAATCTATTTAATTATAGTTTATTTAATTTTTATTTCTATTGTTAAAAAGATGGATGTGGATGATAACGGTGGTAGAAAGATTTCTCACGATTCTAAATTGTTTTTTAGGTTAGTGAACTTAGTACATAACCAGACACTTGTTGTTTTGACCCTTATGTTTTTATTTGGAATGATTTGGTTTTACAGTTTGTCATAATTACTTTAAAGCTTGAAACAGTTATTTTATATTTTACGACCATTTAAAATTTTAATTTTCATGATAATTATTATTTTCACAAATCATAGGAATATATTTGTAATTAATTGTGGAATTTTGAGGTTTAGTAAATAATGTTATTTAAAACTAGACTATTTTTAATTAATCATTTTTACTTTTAGATTAAAATTAGAGTGTCTTACAAATTGTTATATGGTTCTAGTATTGCTTTTAATAGAATTGGAAATTTTGGTTTTTATGACTTTTTTTAGTCTTTTCTCTATAATATACCAAATATTTTCATTAAAAATATTAATAGTATTTAAAATGTAACCCAACTTTATTTTAAAATGTTTTCAATTTGATATATGTTTGTATATCTTAGCTTTTAACTTTAAAAATACTAGTTCATTTATGCCTGAGTTATATATTCATTATATATTTTTTTAGTTTATTTTGTTATTATTATTGTTTTTTTTATTTACTTTTTTCTTGAAATTTTAACATGAAAATATTTTTTAAATTCCCTACAAATGTTAATAATTTACGAAGTAATTAATTTTCAACAGTTTTTTTTAATTGTTTAATGATAGCTAATAAAACGGAAAAATTCAATTTTCTCTTGATAAAATTAATTTCTTAGTATTAAGATTATTCTTTACGAATTATTTATGTTCGATTATATATTACATTTATTTAATATTTTATAATTATTTTTATAATGTTTTCCTAAACGTCCCATTTCAATTAAATGGTAGAAATATTTAGATTTTCATTGACTTATTTTTTGTATTAGTTTTATTTAAATGTATTTCCTTACAATTATTCCTAACATTATGGTTAATAACAGTAAATTTATAAATGTGATTCGAAAGGTTGTATTATCATTGATTCAGTTAATAAACTATAAATTGAAAATCGGTCTCCTATTTTTGGTACGCCTATAGATAATTGAACTAAAAAGTTAATTGATCTGAACTTCAGTATTTTATTATGTATTGTTATACTGAGGTCATTGTCACATTATAGGTATTCTTTAAAGTTTTAAAGTTCGTAACAAGGTTTGAAATTTAAGACTAGGAAATAAAAAATAAACTATGGTACAACAAAGGATTAGATTTTTGTATAATATTGTAAGTGGAAATTAATTATAATTTTGTTGCAATTCATTTTTGTTTTGTTTGAATGGCAAAAATTTGATACTTAAGTTAGATTTATTGAGTGTGATTTTATTTAACACTTTAAATTACCTTAGTGTTCGATATTTTGGCACTTATGTATTAGTTTTGAAAATTTAAATTAAATTTGATTAGCCCTTGCCCTTCACTAACACTGATTTAACTAAATATAGCTTATTTTTATATGTATACCATTGATTATAGAATTGATTATAATGTTTATTATATTATCAATGGTGTGTACTGATGTACGTATAAGTTTGGTAATTAACAATAAATATTTATTATTAATTTTTATGGTTTAACCCTGTCCATTGCTACTTGTTAGGCCATTTATCTTTATTTCCTTTTAATAATTATCTGTTACACTCATGTTATTTTAATAATAAATATTCTACATGCCTAGAAACTGGCAATGGACCATGTGATGCATTTGGATTCTGTTGGGGGGTCATTGAACTATTAAAGTCCTTAACCCTTCAACAGTTTAAGTTGTGATTAAAATTAATTAAGCAGATATAAATGAAAAAAATCTCGAAAATTAAAATATTCAGTTCGTTCTTAGGTACCATTGCGATTTAATACCCATTCTATTTACTTTTTTCTTTCTTCCCCTGCACTAGGTTATAATATTATCTTATAACAAAACTTTAAACTTTGTTTTAACGTCCTTACACAATGGTACTTATATTAGTTTTTAATAATTCCTTAACAAAATGTATTTATTTATATGTTATAGATCAATGACAAATTCATGTTTTCTATTGTTCAGTATACTACTTTTATCTTTCAATTTTCATTTAAGTATAATGCTTTATATTAAATGTATATTGTCTGAAGGCAAGTTTAGAATGGTATTTTTATTTAACATGTATTTGTATTATAAAAGACGGTAATTTTGTTTAATAATTCTGGTTGACACTTTCTTAAAAATTAGACATTAATCTTTCTTCATCTTGCTTGTTGTTTAGCCAGTTTTTCAACTTATCGATATAAAATTGAAGCAATGGCTTAAATGCATTATTGTTTTTTATGATTGTGCAGGTGGTGACAAAAACCCGTTTCCTCTATATATTGTGGTTCCTGTTACCCTCTAAGAGTAATATTTTGCTATTCCTATTTTAAATGTGTTACTTTTATGTCAACGGTTCTGTATTAAAGATAACATAAGATTTACATTACTGTTAGGTATACGGTATAATATGGAGTTATGTAATACTACCATTTAAATTATATTTTAATATTGTAAATATATTGTACTATTTATTTATTCATTATTCATTAATTTGATATTTAAGATTTTAATAGGTACTTATGAAATTGAATAAAAAATAAAATAAAACAATTTGTTAGAAATCGATATCTTGTAATTAAATATTATTAAGATTTCAATTTATATTACAAGATTACATTTTTTTTTTTTTTTTTTCAGAAAAACGTCAAAACTTTCATTCTTGCATATGGCGGGTGTCAACAACGTAAGTACATATGATAATGCATCAGAAAATTCCAATAACACACTTACGCACGCTAACAAGACTGATGATTCAGACGACCAGGATGATTCGTTGCAGAACGTCATCGATAATGAGTTATCCAAACGTTTGAACGAATGTCCAACTCCAGTTAATCGTGTAAAATACAGTGTAGATATAATGTTGACTGCGGAATCAATTCATAGTGCCAGTGTTGAGCAATCCAATGAAATGGAATACTCAGACCTTAAGTCTTTACAATCAAATGAGTATCAATTGCAAAAAGATAATAGCGAGCTTATATTACTGTCAGAAAAACAGCATATAGAAGAAACTAGTGATACAGGTCTCGGATCTGAAATTATTTCAGAATTGGATGCGCTTAAATCAGATATTGATAATGATGGTCCATTTTCTGATAATATGAGTAGTGGGTTTGAAGATGGTGTTACAAAAGAGCTTGTGGATCAAGATCCTTCATATGCAGAATCCGAAGAACCTCGTATTTTTACTAGACCCCTACCGGTTGATGAAACAGATAAAGTAACCGAATTAGTATTTGATACTTGGACCACACTTGATGAGGTTGTGGGATCTGAAGTACAAAAACTCGAAACCAACGGTTATAAAGAAAAGTCGGATTTGGACATCAGTACCGCTAACCTTAATACAGAATGTTTTGATAATAATACACCAGTCATTACTAACAGTGTTGTGAGTTTTTGTTTGATTAATAACTAATAGGTACTTAATATAGTGTAAGTTAAGTTTAAATATATAACATTTTTGGATTTGTTGATTTTATTAAAACGCTGATAACGTATTTTTATGTTATACTAAAATAAGTCCTTAAAATAAAACAATTTTATTCTATTCGTAATTCATTACTCATTAGTGTGTGACGTTTAATCAACCACGATTCCTACCATTGAAATAAACTGTACAATGTACATACACAATATAGTATGTTAAGTATTATTAAACATAAAAAGTTCATTATCTGAGCCTTTTGTGTCTATGAATATATTTCAATAATATTATTTATATTATTATTGTAAAACAGGTTATTTTAATGGTTTGATTTAATATTATCTTTCATGATGATTTACATGTTTATAGACTTAGATGATATTTAAATCTTTATTAACAAAAATAAAAGTAGGCATTAATTTTATTAATGAAAATTGTGTTCAGATCTTTTCTCAATTTAATAAAGTAACTTGAATAGATTATCATTACTCAGTATTAGTGACTTGAGTGACGCATTTATTGTTTGTTATTAATTAAAGCTGGCTATTATCTGAAACAAAAACCGTGAATATTTATCAACAATATCAGAAATATGGACTTACCAAAACTCTTTTTATATTTTTTTGATTTTTCTCCAATAAATTTACCTTTATTATTTTTTTAAAATAAAATTAGTATAATATATCCTGTTTAAATTTATTATATTTTAATTACATGGTTAAAAGTTAAAAAATAAGTTGTTGCATTGAAATGCATTTAAATATTGGATAACATGATTAAAATTATTTAGATCTAGACATTTTCTAAGTTTTTGTTGCATTAACTTTTATTTACATTGCTTGTGTTATTCTATTTTCTAGATTTTTGTTAATTTTTGTAATAAATTAGTTTTAAAAATTGTTCCTATAGGTATAAAATCATTGTCTATATTCTATAATCGTAGAAAACAACTAGCTTGTCCAGACAATAATAGATAAATATTAGTTATTAGTAGAGATGATTTTTTTCTGTGCTTCTTAAGTAGTATCTATTATGAGATAAATTTTTGTGGTGCATGTTTGTAACTACGAAACACACAATATTTAAGAGGCGTTTAAAACTACTTGTCGATTGTATATTTTGTACATTCGTAAATATCAAGTAGGGATTGATCAGTGATAGACATAGTGTATTTGAAGTCTACATACTCGTATTACTGTCAACGTCACGGTGTTCTTCCCCTATTGTCCATTATATCGTTGTACTCAGGGCAACAATTGACAAAAATCAAATAGGTGTACCTTCTTGTGGTATGATATTTACGAACATCTTCAATCCATTTTTTACTCTTTTTTTTTAGAAATGTTTAAGCGCAAATTAAGTAATAGTTATTTAAGGTTTTATTGTATTTTGGCAGACAGAGGTGGTGTCAGAGACGACGTCAGAACGTAAAACAATTAAAAAAAAGTCATCGGCAGTCAGTGGTGAATCAACTACTACTGTTGTAAAGACGAAAAAAACCAAAAAATCAAAAAAATCAGATGAAAAAGAAAATATCTCTGTAGTAAGTTTATAGTTCTTATTTTAAAATTACTCCTAAAAACTATCTAAATAAAATAGGTTTAATAGTATCTTTTTATTGCTTATTATTATACCTTAATAAGAAATTATTACTGCATATTATGTATATTAAAAGCAAATTAAAAACATGTCTTACTTATTCTACATCAAATCGATCGGTACGTACATTTTTATAACACGTGTTCAGTATTAATGTTTTAATATTTAATTAACAATGTGTTGATCACATTTTAGTTTTATTTTTTGTTATAATTTGAAGCTTTTGTGTTAAATAATGATAAATACAATTTATTTTATTTTTATGTAATTATGAATAAGTATTAATATTTATTTATTTCGGAACGGATTTGAATGCAAATTGCATTTTTTCTGAATGTCAGAAAACGCTGCTTTCCCGGTACAAAATTAATTTCATACACCAAGGAATTAAGAAAGTAACTTATTTTGCATTTTTATGTTAGTTAGTTATTTTTATATAAGAATGGATAATATTTGAAAAAAATTTTAGTTAAAATTCCTATATTCATACATTTAATTCATATGAACACAAGTGTGTCTGTCTAAATTGTATATTCATGTTTTGGAAATAATTTTCTGAGTAAGAGATACAAGAAAACGAATAGTTAATAATATTAAGAATTTATAATAACAAAACAACTTTTTTTAATGTTAAAAATAATTTTTAGAGCACTAAAATGCAATTTTTCAAAAATGTCTGTTATCTGTGCATTAAATTGTATTTGTTAAGACATTTTTTTGTTTTTATATCATTTAAATCCGTTCATTAATTATAAATGTAGAACTCATGATATATGTTAGAGTTTAAAGGATCTCTTAATAGTTGTAGTTCGATGTCAATTCAGTAAATTTCGAAAATGTTTTCCTGGAAATGCTTTATAGTATTGCAGGGCTTATTTCATATCATATTTTGTAAATATATTTAATAGCATTACGATTTGCGTATTTTGTATGGCTTTTGTAGAATTTAAATGGCCATTTGACAAATGATTCAAAATTTGATCAATATGACGAAATTACTGTCGAGGAGGATGATTTATCCAACGTATGTGTTCGTGATCTCGTAAGTATTTAAGTAACATATTTTTAGCTAAATATATATTAAAATATTATATATTTATAATATTTCGTTTTTGATTCGAGCTTCGAAGTTTGTAGATATTTGTTTCTCAATTAGTATCTGTAACAACACAATAGAATTTTTCAGTTTACAATAGTCGATTTGGGTGCAAGCATTTACATTGTCCGAGAATTAATTGGATGTTGACCTTGGATTTCTTATATATTTTCTTTTGTACCTAGTATTATGTCGTGAAATTAGTTTTGGAGTAGTATATATATATATATATATATATATATATATATATACGTGTGTGTGTGTGTGTGTGTGTGTGTGTGTGTGTGTGTGTGTGTGTG